AACTTTTGCTTCAAACAACACTAAGAAAGTGAAAAAGACCCACAGAATGGGAGAAAATATTGCAAATCATATCTCTGATAAAAGACACATATCTGGGGACACCTAGGTGGCTCAACTGGTTGAGTGTCTGCCTTCGGCTCAGGTCATGATCTCAGGGTCCTAGGGATCGAGCCCCTCATAAGGCTCCCTGCTCAGTGGGGAGCCTGCTTCTCCCTCTCCCTCGGCCTCTCCCCCAGCTTATTCTCTCTCTCTCTCTCTCTCAAATAAATAAAATCTTTTTTAAAAAAGACACATATCGGGCGCCTGGGTGGCTCAGTTGGTTAAGCGACTGCCTTCGGCTCAGGTCATGATCCCGGAGTCCCGGGATCGAGTCCCACATCGGGCTCCCGGCTCAGCGGGGAGCCTGCTTCTCCCTCTGACCTTCTCCCCTCTCATGCTGTTTCTCTCTCTCTCTCTCTCTCTCTCTCTCAAATAAATAAATAAAATCTTTAAAAAAAAAAAAAGACATATCTGTAACATACAAAGAACTCTTATGACTCAATAATACACAGATAGAAACCCAATTTAAAAAATGGGCAAAGGATCTGAATATATATTTCTCCAAGTCAGATATACAAATGGCTGATAAACACATGAAAAGATGTTCAGCATCAATAGCCAAGAGGGAAATGAAAATCAAAACTACAATGAGATACCACCTTATACCCACTATGATGAAACAAGTTTGGGCAAAGATGTGGAAAAATCAACATGCTCATACACTGCTGGTGGTAATGTAAAATGGTACAACCACTTTGGAAAGTGATCTGGCAACGCCTCAAACAATTAAAGATAGAGTAATCATATGATCCAGCAATTCCAGTCCAAGGTTGCAAGAGAAGTGAAAACATATGTCCACATAAAAACTTATACAGGAACATTTATAGCAGCATTATTCATAATATTCAAAAGGTAAAAATGATCCAAACAAAAGGTAGGAATGATCCAAATGTCTATCAACTGATGAATATATAAACACAATGTTGGCATATCCATAAAACGGAATATTATTCAACAATAGAAAAAAGAAGTACTGATATATGCTACAACTTGAATGAACCTTGAAAACATTCTAAGAGAAAGAAGCCCATCACTAAAGACAACATATTTTATGACTTCATTTATATAAAATGTAGAGAATACATCTCAAACTAAATACTGCATGTTAATACCGCTTCAACTAAAAATAAATAAGCAAACAAATAAATAAATAAATAAAATATACAGAACAGGCAGATCCAGTTTCACTAGAAAGTAAATTAGTGGCTGCTTTGGTCCTATAGGAAGAAAAAGACAAGAAAGTTACATGTAGAGGTGCAAGCTGTCTTTTTGAGGTGATGAAAATATTCTAAAATTGACTGGAGTGCAAGTGATGGTTGCACATATCTGTGACTACACAAAAATAACACTGAACTGTACAAATTATATAGCAGAAACAAGGGGCATTTTTCAGCTGTGACACCTGGATTTTCTGTTATAAAAACAAAAAGTATGCTGAATTACAAAAAATTAAATATGTATAAATTGATTTTTTTATTTGGTTTAGTTAACTGCCTTGAATAAAAATAAGAAACAAGGATCTGCATTATTATCCCCTATTCATTCAGTGTTGATTCCCAGGGCCTCAGTAATTTTCTGTTTTTAAGTAAATGAAAAACTAAAACCAAAAATCAGGTTTTTGATGGCTATCATCTCCCTTCACTATAAAGGAAAATAATAGCTAACAGTTACTAATCATTCACTGAGTCCCAGGCAGTGCTCTAAGTGCTTTGCAAGTACTCTATTTTAATCTTCAAAACAGAACTACAAAGTAAAAGGTAGGTACTATTACTCAGGTATCCCTGAATACAGAAAGGTTAAGAAACCTGCCCAAGTGGTCACAACTAGTAAGTAGTAGAAGTAGCATCCCAAAGCAGGCTGTCTACTCCAGAACCCTAAACAAGTGAAGCCACCCCACAAAGACTAAAAAGATAGACTCTACTGGTATTAATTGTAATCACTGCAAGTTCAAACCGCAAGAAAGTATTTCATACACCTAAATAAATTTTTTGTTAAGATTTTGTTTATTTATTTCAGAGAGCAGGAGAAGTGGGGAACAGAGGGAGAAGCAGACTCCCCACTGAGCAGGGAGCCCCACGAAGGGCTCGATCGCCGTACCCCGGGATCATGACCTGAGCCCAAGGCAGATGCTTAACTGACTGAGCCACCCAGGTGCCCCGACCTAATTAATTTTTTTAAGGACCTAATTAATTTTTTTAAGGATGACTAGAAAACAACAATGTGAAGGTTTTAAAGGGTCCATACCTATAACCACAAAAGATTGATTTCTTACGCTTCATTAGAATAATAAATAGAAGATAACCTCTTCGGGGCGGCTGGGTGGCTCAGGTGGTTAAGCGACTGCCTTCGGCTCGGGTCATGATCCTGAAGTCCCTGGATCAAGTCCCGCATCGGGCTCCCTGCTCGGCGAGGGGCCTGCTTCTCCCTCTAACCCTGCCCGCTCTCATGTACTGTCTCTCTCTCTCTCTCATTCTCACTCTCTCAAAATAAATAAATCTTTAAAAAAAAAAAAAAAGAAGATAACCTCTTTATCCCCTAACTCCAGAAATACTCTTCCATACTTGACACTTTGTTTTTAATACTTAACATATATACATTATCTTCCACATCAAATTTACTCAGATTTAGTTCTCATTTTTTTTAAAGATTTTATTCATTTATTTGAGAGAGAGAGAGAAACAGCACGAGAGGGGAGAAGGTCAGAGGGAGAAGCAGGCTCCTCGCTGAGCCGGGAGCCCCATGCAGGACTCGATCCCGGGACTCCGGGATCATGACCTGAGCTGAAGGCAGTCGCTTAACCAACTGAGCCACCCAGGCGCCCAGATTTAGTTCTCATTTAAGATATGGATGTTTTAACACCCCACTGGCCTAGTCCTACAATATGGAAGGATGACTAGAAGAACTGCTGCAACAAAGATAACCCCAAGAATCCTGTGGAAAGAAAATGTGGGGGTGCCTGGGTTGCTCAGTCAGTTAAGCATTTGATCTTGACTTGGACTCAGGGTTGTGATCTCAGGGTTGTGAGACTGAGCCCCAGGTTTGGTTGCACACTGGGCGTGGTGCCTGCTTAAAATCCTCTCTCCTTCTCTTAAAAAAAAAAGAGAGAGAGAGAGAGAGAATATGTGGATTAGAAGGTAGATCCTGGAATTAGGAGGCTAAGCTGCTGACACTGTTGTTGTTCATATTTGCAGTTTTGCTTTCTCCAGGTCATGCTAGTACTGACTCAAATTTTGGAAAGTAGGAATCAGGTCATCTAGGGCAAGAAAAGTGACAAATATATGTAGAATTAGAAGAATGCTGCTTTTGAAGACAATATTATAAGGAATCAGTATTGAAATTTTCAATAAAAGACAAAGAAGACAAAAGAGCACAGGAGAGGGAGTTAAACAGACCTGGGTTCTCTTTTCCATTTCACACCTCAGAAGAGTGACTTGAAACAAGTCCCTCACCTTCTAATCTCCTAATTGTTCTGGGGGGTGGGAAGATAAAATGGCCTAACACATGTAACTGCTTAACCATAGGATGTACTCAATAAATGTCAGATAAATGTCAGTAGTAACCTAGTAGTAGTAATAGAAGTGGTGGTGGTGGTGGAATGTATTCCGAGCAATGCCAATCTGAACCTCTGGACTGAATATTTAAATGCGACATTTAAAAAATGGGGTGCGTGGGTGCCTCAGATGGTTAAGTGTCTGCCTTTGGCTCAAGTCATGATCCCGGAGTCCTGGGATCAAGTCCTGCATCAGGCTCCCTGCTCCTTGGGGAGCCTGCTTCTCCCTCTGCCTCTGCCTCTCTCTCTCTCATCAATAAATAAATAAAATCTTTTAAAAAAATAAAAAATAAAAAATGACAGTAATCTTTCACTGAAGTGTTAATCAACAGGGATGTTTTATAATAACATCATGTGTTTCAATAATTTTTAAGAAATATTTGCATCTTTATTCTGAAGGATGAGACTTGCTACATACATCAAAAGATGTAAAACATTAACAACTACTATATACTATTGATATTGGATTTTTCCCCTTCAGTGAATGTTTTCATCAAGAACTTGTACCATAAACATAAGTGTGTGGTTGTAATTTAAGAGCAATTACACACAATTACACAAAACTAAAGATTCCTTAAACTCAAATAGCTTATAAATTATTTGCAAGTTTTTTTAATTCTCCTAAGTAAGGATTTAGTCTATTCACACACACACACACACACACACACACACACACACACACAAACTCAGCAATTATTCTCTTTATGTATTTCTAACAAGTTAGAAAATCTATGCCGCTCTAAATGCTGGACAACTTTAGTGAAGACCAATAGTTTTCCTCCTAGCATCTTCAAGTTGTGTATGTGTGTGATGTGGTTTCATGTTTAAAGTAAAAGTGAGATGGCAAAAAAAAAAAAACTTAATTTCTCCACTGAAGTCAATTGTAGGACTTAATTAGGGAAAGGAGATGCTGATAAAAATCAGCTCAGTTCATCTAAACTGCTGTGGTCTGCAATATAGAGAGAGAAGGAGAAGCAGTAATCCTATTGCAAGAATTAGAGGGTATTAGTGCATGCATCCTACTGCAGTCGTAGGCTGAGAATTGCTTTGACCATTTGCTCACAAGACCTGTTGAAGAGTCATGGGAGGAGGATGCTTGTGCACCACGTGACATTTCTGAATGGAATCTTTAAAAATTATCACTCTCTCAAAAATGTTCATAAGATTCCACACACTTTGTGCATCTAGTTGCGTTTTGTTCGATTTTTAATGCAAACAACCTTCCTAAGAAACCTATCATCCAACATCCCCCAAAACCATTCCATGGCATCAGTGAATCAGTCTTGCCCACAAAACAAAACACAGAAAGGGCATTCACGCTCCCATTGTTTAATTCCGGACATACACTTACCTGATGCCGAATCACCTTTCCTCGAACTCTCCGCAGATTTCCCTTTAAGAACGCCTGCCAGGGTCCCAGGGCTGCAACGACGAGAGCAAGAATGGAGGGTGCAGAGCAAAGCAACCCCTCGCTTCACTACTCCCTGTCGTTCCCCTGCTCCAACTTGTTCCACGTCCCAGATAGAGAGAAAGAACCTCACCAGGGAGCACCACCAGCTCCAAAGAGTTGGAGCGACACCCACAAGGAGTAAACCTGCATCCCTTCTGTGTCAACCCCGCAGACACGCAGGGGAAACGGCATCAATCCCTTGGAAGAGACCAGGCAGGCCAGAACAACGGCAAGTCCTGCTTCTCACAAAGAGGAGGAAATGGTGAGGGAGGCAGTCAGTGGGATGAAGCGGATAGAGGACAGCAACGGCGGAAGGGACAACTCCCTACTCCCGCCTAACTCCAAGCCATCTTCGCCCTGTTGTCATAGCACTTTACAACGAACGCCGCTGCGCAAGTCGGATGGCTGAGTTCCGATGCCTTCTGGGGGCTGTAGTCCAGAATGGCCGAAGAGGATGGAAGGTGGAAGACTTTTTTGCTTGGGCCTGGCTGGAATCAGATTTCTAAAGGAGGGGCCTGGAGTGAACCAATCCCTGATCCTCATTAGCACAGAGATAATTAATACCATTCCCTTTCCGGTCCTTGGAACGTTCCCTCCTGCCTCGGCTGTGGACGCAGGCCACGCCCCTCCCACGCCTACCCGTCCCGCGTGTAAGCGCGCAGGATGGAGCTTCCCTCGGGGGCGGGGCTTGCGCCGGAGGGGCGGAGCGTCCGGGCTTTTCCGCGGGCTCGCGCGTCCCAGGCTCCCAGAGCAGTTATTTTCCCCGCTCCCAAGCTCAAGAAGCCCCGTATGTGAACCAGGCGGTGGTAGCCAGGGTCGCCGCAGTAGCGAGCGCCAGTGTGGGAGCCCCGGTGGCGGGGGTGGTGTTGGCCCAATATACATTCACCTTGAAGAGGAAGACGTGGGGAAGACAAACATCGTGGAGGCGATGGAGCATTTAAACAATTTCCAGGTGCTTATTTTTTCCTAGGAGAAACAGTGCTGCCATGAGGTTATTTATACGTGGCTCCTGATGTGCCGCAGCTCTCTTTAGCATATACCTTAGAGTGGATTACCTGGTATATAGATATGTAAATGTTCAACTTTACAATTGAACATAATAAGTTCAGTGTTTTTTTCATCTTTGCTTTCAAAAGCAAAGGGGTGCCCCTAGAATAAAAAGATTTTTTTAAATAATAGAATAAAATACTGTATGAAAATAATCATGTGAAAATTACCTTGAGGGCGCCTGGGTGGCTCAGTTGGTTAAGCAGCTGACTCTAGATTTCAGCTCAGGTCTTGATCTCAGTATCATGAACGAGTTCAGGTTGTTGGCTTCTGCGCTGGGCATGGAACCTACTTAAAAAGAAAAAGAAAAAATTATCTTGAACTGCTAATTTATATTTCAACCCGCTAAGATATGTAACTGCTTAATTTTAAAAAAATACATATTCCCTGTGACAGGAGAAGCTTCTGAAAGCTTGATATCCAAATTCAACGTATTTCAGTGACAGCATGGGACAGTGCGAAGAATAGTATTTGCTGGGAAACCTAAGGTAATTTATCATTTCTGGCATGAAAAGTTTATTTTCAACAGCTGGTGCCATATTCCTCTTAATGAGTGTGATAGTTTACAAAAATAGCTGTAGTTTTGGTTTTTTTTTTCCATCTTTGTGTGCCCATTTCTTTACAATGTGATTTTGCAGCTCTACCCTTAAATCTGAATTTGACCTGCTTGGTCAATGAAACATTAGTAAATATGATGCAAGCAAAGCTTCAAAAAGTGCTTCTCCCTCTCGTGCTTCTCTTGAAAATACTGCAACCACTTCTATGTCAATGACCTGTAGAAGCTTGCTGAATGATGAAAAACATGTTGTCAGGTCATCTCCACTGCCCCTCTAGACACATGAGTGAGGTCATTTTAGACCAACAAAACCCAGCAGAGCCACGCCACACCAAAGCAGAACTGCCCACCCAACAAATGTTACTTCTTTGTATGTAAACCTTGTAAACCTCATGCATATTAGACACATAGAGGACTCTACCCATCATCAAGGCCAATTACTTATTGAGCCAGGCACACAATAAATATATGTGCCACGCACTATATGAAGCATGTTGGATCATTTAACATTGAGAACACAGCTGTCAATTATTTTTTGCTTTAACTCATAGGACAAAATTAATTTGGAAAGATAATATCTAACTTATTTGCGTGTGATGCCCTCTGTATTACTACTTTCTATTTCCTTTTTTATTTCATAGTTTACAATGTTGCTGTTGATTTCACAATTCCCTCAGTTGATTTCACAATCCACTAATGACTCTTGACCCAAAATTTGAACAACATGAACGTAGCATTTATCAGTCCAAATAAATATTTCTAGAATGAATGAATGTCATGAAGGCAGATTTGGCACATTAACAGCTGCAGAATGTGTGTAGCATCACATAGTGTGGAACCATATGGTAGCTAGAGAAATGTTTAAAATTCAAATATGATAATGACTTCTTCCAACTTTATTTTCTTCATTACCTTCCTACCACTTACTTTGAGATCCAGGTCCTTCACAGATCCTGGACAATCTTGTCCCGTCTGCCTCTCCAGCCTCATTTCGTGGCTCTTCTCCTTGCTCCGCAGGCTCCAGCCCCACACTGACCTTCTTTCTCATTTCTTCTGTACATGAAGCCCCTTTTCCACAGGCTGCTCTGCCTCTTGGGATACTTTCCTTTGCTCCGCCAGCTCCTACTCATTCTTTAAGCCTCTGCTTATATTTCCCTTCCCCCTGGGAAGGCTTCCTGGACCACCACTAGCATAGGTACCCCCATATATCTTATAGAACTGATCATAACTGAAATTTTAATATATGGGTAATTGTCAGTTCAACATTTTTCTTATATAAGCTCCACAAAGGTAGAGACTGGTTTCTCCCTGCACTCAAAATATATTCACATAGCAGGTCTAATTCAGTGTTTGATGAATGAATAAATGAATGTTTTTGAAATTTTTATTAGCTCTTTCCTTCACCTTTATAACCTTACATCTTCTGGCTCTTCCCCAGAGTTCAGACGACTCCATGGTGCATACCAGAGATAAATCTGAGTGGCTCACACCAACCAAATGACTGGCATTGTTCCTTCTCTCCTGGGGTGGCTTTTCTCCAGGCCAAACTTGGGTGCCTGATGCCTATGACCATTAGTGGGTGGGTTCTTGCTCAGGAGACTCCATGGGCTCTGATACTGTCAGGATCCAGGAAAGCTCACCTCAAACATGGACTAGACGTGCTCACATATGTGGAATTATACCAGGAGCGGGGACTTGCACACAAGCTGGGACCAAGGACTTCACCATTCATAAACTAAGTTATTGAGTATCCTCACCTCTCACATGTGAGAACTGTAAGAGGTTGTTCTAAAGTGTAAGAAGGAAACCTTATGTTTCTAAATAATGAATTATACTACCATTATATTCTTTTAGTATCAGGACATCCAGGTTGATTTTTTTTTTAAGATTTTATTTATTTATTTGACAGAGAGAGACAGCAAGAGAGGGAACACAAACAGGGGGAGTGGGGGAGGGAGAAGCAGGCTTCCCGCTAAGCAGAGAGCCCGATGTGGGGCTCCATCCCCGGACCCTGCTGAAGGCAGACGCTTAACAACTGAGCCACCCAGGCCCCCCCAGGTTGATTTTAAACACTAACTTTGAGGGGCACATGGGTGGCTCAGTTGATTAGGCATCCGATTTGATTTTGGCTCGGGTCCTGATCCCAGGGTCCTGGGATGGAGCTCCTCATGAGTGGGGAGTCTGCTTCTGCCTCTCCCTTTCCCTCTGGTCCTACACCCACCTCCCCCCCCCCCCCCCTCATGCTGGCTCTCTTGTTTTCAAATAAATAAATAAAAATCTTAAAAAAAAAAACTAACTTTGCAATCAAACATTGTTTCTGACAGAGTTCTTTAGTCACAGATAACAGAATCCATTCTAGCTGGTTAAACAAAAACTAGTTTCAAGGAAATCGGGTAGTTCATCAAACCTCTTGGAGACCCAGAAAACCAGACTTGAACACCTCACAGCCAGGGTATTTATGGGGCAGTTACTGGTTCAGGTAACTTGCATCAACTGCTAGATTGGTTTATGCACCAGTTCTCCCTCCAGGGGGAGAACCTGATTTCCAAGCTCTGGGACATATCAGTGTAATACTGTTTCTGTTCATAGACCTTGTGCATTCCTTCATTTGGATTTTCCCTAATAAATATGAAGGAGCTCCTCATTTATTTTAAGTATTAACCATATTGAATGCCACATTTGAGGGGAATAGTCCCTGTGCTGTTACTTTTACTTCGTTTGTGGTTTCTTCCATTATGTTAAAGATAAAACAGTCATCATAACTTCACATACCAGATACAGTTACAAAATGCAACCTAGTTAAGCACTTTAACAATTCGCGGCCTGGCTCCACGACTTCTACTTCTGCATCCTTGGGCATGTTATTTGACTCTCTCCGCCTCCTTCTTATGTATAAAATAAGGGTAATACATACGGGTAATAACAGCACTTAGTAAGTTTTTAAAGATTAAATCAACTTTTCTTACGGGCTTAGCTCAATGACGAGCACATAAAAAGCGCTCAGTGTCTATAGCTTTCAGTCTAGCGCCCAAACCTTGTCTAGATTCACGGCAGGCTGACTACGTTTTAACGACGCTCTGGAAAATCAGAGAATTTCTCTGGGGTGTCTTGCTTTCTTCAAAGCTGGGTGAATCCCAGCACCAAGTAGCAGCAGGGGCCACGAGGCCGCCGCGCACGGGTCCCCGGGCCTCCCAGGGGAGGGGCACGCGGGGGTGGGGGGCTCCCCGGCTGTCCCGCCGGCCTCCCCCTCCCCCACCCCCACCCCCACCCCCGCCCCGCTTGCGGCCGCCGCCAGGGGGCGCGCTCCGATCCCGGCCGGCCTGGCGGCGGGGCCACCGCGCTGCCAGCGCGGACTTGGGGCCACGACGCGGGAGGCGGCGGGGAGGCCTGGCGGGAGGCGGGGACCAGGAGGCCTCGGCGGGGACAGCGGGCCGGGCCCGGCCCGGGCGGGCGGCGGGAGGGGGCGCTGCGGGGCCGACCGGCCGCGGCGCGGAGGAAGTGCCGTCTTCCCGCCGCCTCAGCCGCCTCAGGCACGCCGCGGGGGCCGCCTCAGCCGCGCGGGCCGCGATGTCTTCCCGGCCCGGGCGCGACGACGCGGGGGCCGGGGGCGTGCGGCGGCCGCGGGAGCCGGCCGAGCAGGAGCTGCAGCGGCGCCGGGAGCAGAAGCGGCGGCGGCACGACGCGCAGCAGCTGCAGCAGCTCAAGCACCTGGAGTCCTTGTGAGTCCGCGCCGCTCCCGCTCCTCCGCCAGGCGCGGGGTTCGGGTGGGCCGGCGCCGCGGGGGCGCGGGAGGCTGGGTCCCCGGGGACCCGTGCGGCGCTGGCACCCGGACTTCCAGTCGCGCCTCCGCGGGGAGGGAAGGGCCGTTGCTCCGGCGCGCCGAGCGGCCTGGGCCGGCAGGGAAGCTCGGGCTTTATTTCCCCGCCCGAGGTCGGCGTGCGGCCGGGGCTCTGCTTAGCGCTGAGGACCGTGCGGCACTTAGTAGGCGCTCGGTGGGGACTTGGGGACTGAACACGCGGCAGGTGCAGTGAGCGCCGCCGTCCTGCCCTTTCAGGGTTGTCGGTTGACAGGGCCCCCCGGGAGCCGGATAAAACCCCCGATCTCTTCATTCGCTGCTAGGAAGGGAAGAGAACACGCCGTCCTCTACCGTTAGTGCGGTGGCGAGAGAGGGCTGGAGAATGGGGTGAGGGACTTGTCCCTAAAGATCCCAAAGGTGGAAGAGAGTGGAGACTTGTTCTCTTTAGGCTTGGGGGGGGGGTGGTGGTGGTGGTGGTGGTGGTGGTGGTTTACCAGCATGAAGGGTGGGGGCTACAAAGAGGCCAGTTCCGGCTCAACACAAAGACTTAGGACCAGAGTCTCCTGTGGATGCTGGTCAGCATGGCCTGACTTAAAGGGGCACCGTGCGCCCCCAGCTCCAGCGGGTTCGGGGAGAGAGCCCAGAACCCGCGGGAGGAGGGCGGGTTGTAAAGGAGATTGCAACATCAGGTGGGAGGTGGACCTTCCAGTTCTTTTCTGTGATTCTGTCTTTCTCTAATTAGCTTTAGAAGGCAAACTTGTAAGTTTGGTGCTCACGGAGTTCTTCAATACATACTTCGTTTCTATTTCAGGCACTTGCATTACCTAAGCTAAAATGATCACGTAAGGAAACGTCCTCAAAGGATTCAGATTCTTTATAATTAACCTGGGAGCTTTGACACAAAATGCATTGCACTGTTGGAGGCTGGCCTGCCTGCTCTTTTCACTGTGACCCCTGAGCTGAATTTCAACTCAGTAAGGCAGTCGTTTCAGGATATAGGTGCTGCATTGCTAGCACCCACAGTCCTGGCCCCTTTGGGCCCTCTGTGGCCCTGTCCTGTGCAATGCAGATGTTCAAATATCTTTCCCTAGATAAGCCTGAGCTTCGCAGAGCCCAGTCTGACCCTCAGTATCTTTAACTATGGGGTACCAGATAGTAGTTAACACTATACATTTATTTTGTAGCTCATAAAGCACTCATAGACATCAGAGAGATTATAACCTCCTTTTGCAGATGAGGAAATGCAGGTTTAGCAGTTAAGTAACCTGATCAAGGATACATTGACCTGTAAACTAGCAAAACTAAAGAGGAACCCAGGTGTCTGATTCCCAAACCAGTTGGATTTTTCCACTTCAGGGATTTAAACTTTCTGGGCTGCTGACATATTTAGTTTGACTAATTCAGGGACTTGTTTGCTTTTAAATCAGAATTTTTATTTTTAGAGTAATACTTTAAACATCAAATAGTACTAAGAGACTAATTTCAAAAAATAGTGGTTCACATCCCTGTTCACACTGCCTGCAACCCTCCCTCCAACCAAGTTTACAATACGGAAACCGTTTTTTCTTCTGGGACTTAACTACTTATTCCCAATTATATGCTTACGCTGCTTTTTTAGATTGAACAACAGACATTACCTATAAACCTCATGTCACATACATGAGGGTTTAGTTCCCTTTCCCTACCCTTCTTGCATCCATCCTTCCAATATAGCTCCATGGTAATTTTTGTTAAATCAATAGTGGGTATTAGCATTATTATAACTATTCAGTATTGTTCACTTTTGAGCCAAAGGGTGTTCTGTGATTTGTTTTGCTTCCTAGCACAATTGTTGTTTTTCATCTAGTTAATAAGCACCTCAATTTTTTTCATTTGCTTGAATTTACTATTAACTGCTAATTTTATCTGAAAGACTCTAAAAGCTGAGAGTACTTTTTCTACTTGTTCCTACATATCAGACAGTCTATCAATTTGTTTGTTTTTAAAACCAAAAATCTTCCTTCTGCTCTCCAGTACACTCTGGTTACTTTCTAGACCTGGTGTACAACTGCCTTCATCACTCTTCTGTCTTGGATCCCATTTCTGGACCCTGTGTCTTGTCTTTCTCTCTTTATCTCATTTTGTTTAAGTATATTATGTAACTTCCTATAAAAAGTGCATTGGGGTGAGGTCCCTGGGTGGCTCAGTTGGTTAAGTGTTTGCCTTCGGCTAAGGTCATGATCCTGGGGTCCTGGGATCAAGTCCCACATTGGGCTCCTTGCTTGGCGGGGAACTTGCTTCTCCCTCTGCTTGCTGCTCCCCCTGAAATCAAGAGTCGGTTGCTTAACCAGCTGAGCCACCCAGCTGCCCCTTGCAGTTTCATGATGTGAACTTTTTCTCACCAGATTTCAGATTTTTTTTTAATTTTCTCAATACTTCGTGGGTATTTAATATTCATATATGATCTGTGTTTTAATTTCCTTCCCTCCATTTTGTTTTTTCGTACTCTTAGACTTCTATGATCCTCTTTTCATTCTGCTTTCTAAAAGACTTATCTTCCAATCTTTCCACCATTGCACTTTTAAGTTTAAGAGCTTCTTGGCCTGAGAATTCTTTTTTTCATAACATCCTATCGTTTCCTCAATAACAAATCTGTCATCTTTGAGGATACTCATTTTTTTTATTTGCTTTCTTCTTTGTTGTCTGTTTCTTCTTTGCCTTTTCTTGTGATTTCTTTCACTTAGAGGTTTTTTCCTAATGTGCAGGGATCCTTGGATCTTCCCCGTTAAGAGTGAGGCATTATAAAGCTATTTTGAAGGGAGCAGTTGGGAGAGAGAGAATGCAAAGGTGCTGGTTTATTGACTGGTAAGTCTCACTGTAGGGATGGAGTGAAAAGGAAGGCAAATAACTAAGTTGTCCAGCCAGCCATGTAAAATGGTTTTTCACAAATTGAATTCAAATTCTTTTATCCCCTGGTTGCCCTCGTTAGGTCCCCTCACACTCCTCTGGTCAGTTTCTTATACTTGACCTTACCTTTTCTTACCTTTTGACCACACCTGCCAGGACCCCAGAGGCATCTGAATCTTTCACCCTGTGCTCTAACCATGCTCCAACCCTATTCAAGTGTCCCTTGTCTGCTGGACATAACAGAATGGAGATTCTGTATATATGTGGCATTTTCATCTCTGCCTTCCACCCCATAGGAGCAAGCTGTGGGAACAACTGGAATTGACTATGCTTACACAAAGGACTCTTCCAAAAAAAATCCTATGCCAGCACTCAGAAATACAAGAGTATTTTTAAGCACTTGGCAGAATAAAGATTTCTTTCCCCATGCCCAGTTGGGAAGATAAGTTTTTCCTCTCTTATCTAAATTTAGTCTTCATACTGCTCAGAGAAACTTATTACAATGTGAATGATATAATAGCAAGGCTTCACAGATGGTACAAAGTAATGGGCCTCCACTAACTTTTTTTTTTTTAATTCTAAGGATTAACTACAAAAAGTGCACTCTTCTCAACTGTCACAGCGCAGAAGCCAACTACACAATAAACACACTTCCATTCTAGGTCTGGTTGGGTTTTGTTTGTTTGTTTAAGTAATCTCTACACCCAGTGTGGGGCTCGAACTCACAACCCTGAGATCAAGAGTCACATGCTCTACCTCCTGAGCCAGCCAGGCACCCCCCAGATATGTTATATTTAATAGTTAAATAATTATAATAGTTAACTATTACTTTAGACTTTGAGAAATATCTTTTTTAACATGTTACATAAACTAAAGAATTGTCAAGCGCTCGGAAAAAACACCAACCATGTTCCTTTAAATTTGGAGAAACAGTTGTAAAATGGACTTTTTAGGAAAGTCCATTGCTATTAATAACAGATTTCAAAATGTGTAGTCAGGGGGCACCTGGGTGGCTCAGTCGGTTAAGCGGCTGCCTTCGGCTCAGGTCATGATCCTGGGGTCCTGGGATCGAGCCCCACATCTGGCTCCCTGCTCAGTGGAGAGCCTGCTTCTCCCTCTCCCTCTACCTGCCACTCTGCCTACTTGTGCCCTCTCTCTATCTCTCTGTCAAATAAATAAATAAAATCTTTAAAAAAAAATGTGTAGTCAGTTCTCATCACATTCCTTTTTCACTTAGGCACAAGCTTTTACATATTTTTCAGGAAGTGGATTTTAGTTTAGCCATATATTATTTGTACTCCTCCTGTGGCAAAAGAAAGTATTGTTGGATTATTGGGTATTTATGCAGATGTTACCTCCTCCCTTCCAAGCTCCCTTAAGTCCCAATCCATAAAGGACAGCATTAATGTTTCTAATGAATGGCTACTGGTGGGCTGTATCACCTTCTTAATATAGGCAAATTTCCATTATTCTTGCTAAGAGAGGCCTAGGCATTTGGCATGCCACGGCTTTCTACCGGAAAAGAGTGGAAGTATTTGCTCTGGAAATATCATATCTAAAAAGTTAATTCTGTTTATACCCAAAACAACTTCAGGGACTAAGTCCTCCTCTGTCCCTTTAGAAAAACTCTGGATTAATGATGGCGAGGATGACAGTGGAGAAGCCTCCATCACCATCCTTATTTGGAAGCATCCAGAGATGAAGCCAAGTGGAAGTTTTCTTTTCTGTAACGATTCATGGCATTTCTCATCCTTCCTCTGCTAGAAAGGAAAAAACACTCCTGTTTTTCTTTTCTACACTCATACTACACTCAGAGCACTACTCTAACTGTGTGGGACTTTTCCAACACCACGAAGAAATTCTCCTATTCTCAGACGACACCAAGTATATGTGTTACAGATCTAATTCTGACATTGTCCACCTGGAGTCAGCATCAGAATCCACAGGTTAAGGGCGCAGTTTCACAGGACTTCCCCTCTCCACATGCTTTAGATGTGTCCCAAGGCCAGGTTGTTACCAACCTATTGTCTGTACAGCAGAGGTTCCCCCAGCACCACCCTCCTCTGGTTTGGTTAATTTGCTAGAGCAGCTCATAGAACTCAGGAAAACATTTTATTTACTTGATTACTGATTTATTATAAAAGGTTATAGCTCAGGAACAGCCAGATGGAACAGATACATAGGGTAAGATGTATGGAAAAGGGCATGGAGCTTCCGCGTCCTCTCCAGATACACCGCACCTCCACGTGTTCAACCTTGAAGGTCTCTGAAATCCATTTTTGGGTTTTTGTTTTTTGTTTCTTTTTTTTAATTTTATTTATTTATTTGACAGATCAAGAAAGAAAAAGAGCACAAGCAGAGGGAGCAGAGGAGGGAGAAGCATGCTCCCCACTGAGCAAGGAGCCTGATATGGGATTCGATCCCAGGACCTTGGGATCATGACTGGAGCCAAAGGCAGTCACTTAACCAACTGAGCCACCCAGGCGCCCCAGTTTTGGGTTTTTTTTTTTTTTTTTAAGATTTTATTTATTTGAGAGAGAGAGAGAGCAGGAGCAGGGAGGAGGCTAGGCTCCCTACTCAGCAGGGAGGCCTAGGTAGGGCTGGATCCCAGGACCTTGGGATCATGACCTGAGCTGAAGGGAGACGCTTAACCAGCTAAGCCACCCAGGCGCCCTGGGGTTTGTTTTTGTTTTTGTTTTATAGAGGCTTCATTACATAGGCAAGATTGATTAATCAGTGGCCATTGGTGATTAATTCAATCTCCCTGGAGGTACGGCTGAAAGTTCCAACCCTCTAATCACAGAATTGGTTCCCCTGGCAACCAGTCCTCATCTTTAGGAGCTTTGCAAGAGTGATCTCATTAACATAAACAGTTTGGTTGAAAGGGGCTTGTTATGAACAACAAACTTTTCACCTTTATAGCTCTGGACTTATTTCAGGAACTGGGAACAAAACTAAATATTAAAAGAAAAGATGCTCCTGTGGCCTTTATATAAGAAATTACAAGGTTTTAAGAGCTGAGTGTCAGAACAGTGAAGACCAAATACATATTTCTTACTATAAGTTGCAATATCACATCCACTAAAGTTGTTTTCTTTCACATCTTAAGAGAAGGGCCAAAGGAAAGGCATGCCACTTCTCCCTTGGTCAGTTCTCCCTAACCCCTGTAACCTCCAATATTTAATCTGTTCTGAAGGGTCTTTAAAGCATAAGAAGAGGGTCGGGATAAAGAAAACGTTAAATCATTAAGTGTTCCTATACTTTGCAGCCGTTCTGAAGTATTAAAATGAGTCCTTCCCTGGAGGTTTACAAGGTTAAGGCACAGATCTGAGCTAAAATGCTAATGTATTTCTCCTTATAGAAGAGGAGGACAAATCCCTTTAAGAGTTTGAGACACTCTTTGAGTACACAGACAACCAGCCTCAGAATTTGCTTCCTGTCTCTCGGGCTCTTGGGTCTTTCTCAGTTCAGTCCCTGGCTAGAAATAAGGAGGGCCTGGCCAGTCTGGTGCCTGGGTGCTGCTGAGCACAGACAGGGGACGTTTTCTGCTTTAACAAAGTGATTCTGGTCTGCAAAACAAATGATGGAGGTTTATCCTTGCTAAAATTCGTGATTAAAAACCCTGTAGCTTTGTTTCCCATTAACTTGGTGAATGTCAGGGCCTGGCTCAGATGTTGACTCCTAGCTTGACATTTCCCTTCACAGACTCCTTAGAATTATCTGCCACCACATGAATGTTCCCAGCATCAACAACCAAATGTGTATGCATTTAATATCTGCACACACTCAATCCAACCCCTGCCTCAGAGAGGGCATGAGGTCATTGTCCTTGTTACTACCTCCCTCTAGCCTCATAGTCTTTTGCTTTAGGCTGAGGAGGGCATTGTCAAAACAGAGGGAAGTATGGTATATAAATTTTATTGCAATAAATAAAAAGTGGATAATTGAGCAATGTGGGGGGAAAATTTTAGAGAAAACTGGATTTAGAACCGTATTTGTGCCCAAATCAAATTGTACTCAAGCTCTGAATTTAAAGTGTTCCTGGAGTCTTCTGTTTTCTAGTGACAAACATAGTGCTAGAATAATTACTGGATTCAGCTAGACATGTACTGACAGTCATGTACAAGTGAGCACATGGGCTCTGGCTGTGCGTCCTTGCGCAATTTATTTAACCCATGAATAGTTATTAATACAAGAAATGCATTGCTGACTTAGAACAGTGGTTGCAGCTCAGTGAAAGAACTCTAGATGTCACAAGATCTGGGTGATTGTCCCAATTCAGCCTGTTAATTGGTATAGCTTCCAGTTATTGGAATCAGTGAGGAAAAATGTTGGAACTGATATTGGAGAAAAAAGACATCAGAGTCCTTGGCCTGCCGTACCTTATTCTGAGATAGTAACATGATAATTTAATATCTATAATAAGGCATATTTTATGAGCCGCACAAGAGAATGGGGATAGACTTGGCTGAATGCTGATGTACCATGTACATGGGGGGGAAAAGCAGTGATTCCTGCAGCCAGATATGGAAAAGGAGTCTCTGAGTCCCATGGCCTAGAAAGGCAGTAAGCCCAGCTGGGGATGGTGTCTGTGGGAAGTCCACTGCCGGGTCTCTGCCCACCTCCACTTAGGAGCAGCCAGCAAATCCCTGTAAAGCTGTAGATCTATCAAAAGATGTGAAGACTGGCTTGGGATGGCCAGGCTTCTCTGCTGGTCCACATCTTGGCCTTTGTGAGGCTAGTGCTCCAGTCCTGAGCAGCCTCAGGAGGCTGCTGAGAGCAATGACTTGCTTTCAACAGAAGGAGCAGAAGCCAGCATTGTGAAGTGCCTTTTCCAGAGATGGAAGAGATGTTTGCTGTGACATACTCACCAATGAGGAAATTGAGGCTCGGAAGGGTTAAATAACTTGTCCAAAGTAGACAGCAGTGAGAATGAATCAGAACTCAAACCAAATTTTTTATACCTGTGTTAAAGAACAAAAATTCAACCTAGTAGATTTGAAGATCTAATTGGCTTTATTAATTGATTCACGAATCCAGCAGCATCCCATCTAGCAAGTAGAGAGATGCTCTAAAGAGTTGCACAAAATGGAAGATTTCAATAAGGAGGGTGGTGAATGAAGTTCTTAGCAAAAGAAAAGAAAGGATTGTTCCAGGCCAGGTCACTTTCCCTTAGGAAGAGCAGGGAGTCTTATCTTGTAGATTACCTCAGCTTTTGAGGGGAGGATCAAGGGGGCCCATATGACAGATTAGTTTTCTATGCCCTTAGTTCTCTGATACTTAGCACTATACCTGGCATAATTGTTGTGTGGATACTTCTGTAACGAGTAAGTTCTCAAGTTGAACCTTCAGTATTTCCTGAGAATTAAGTTTAGTTTCCCCTATTGTACCTGTTCTTTCTTTTTTTAGGAGGAAAATCAAGTTGGATAAGAATAAGCAGAATCCCTGCTGAGTACAGAGCCCCACATGGGACTCAATCCCAGGACCCTGAGATCATGACCTGAGTCAAAATCAAGAGTCAGACACTTAACCCACTGAACCCCCCCCAGTGCCCCTCTTGTTTTCTCTTCTTCAACAATAAAATCCTTGTGCTTAGACACAAAGTTAATTATTACCAGTGAATTTCAGTTCTAGATCTCCACAGGATGTGGTGTAGCATCAGTTTATTTATATGGGACCTCTGACTGCTGGGCATATTTTATTAACTGCTTTAGACATAATGCAGTTTTGAGGTTTTACTAAAAATATCCTTTTTATTTTGGTCTGCAGTGCTCACTAAAATGTGTTACGTTCCTCTTAACATGATCGATGATGTTTTTTCTTTTCCTTTCTAGTTATGAAAAACCTCCTCCTGGGCTTATCAAGGTCAGTGTGAAGTTTGTGCCTTTGGTCATTCTCTTAGACATATTTGACTCAGTGCTCAGACTCAGTTACTTGTTATAAAAACCTGTTGCATAAGGTTTTGGACACCCTTTTATGGTAACCCTGCTTCTCCCTGCAGATGCCAGTCAGTTCATACACTTTGGGCTGTGTCCAGCCTGTGCCTTTGTAGAAATGTAATCAGCCGTGTGTCTGTTCCCTAAGAGACGGTGGCAGCCCCACATGTTCATCAGCCATCGGTCCCCTTCTCCCGCCCTCTCTCTCTTGCTGTGGCTGCCATCTTCTCACAGCTGTGCTCCTTCTCTGATTTGCTGCTGCTTTCCTGAGTATCATCAGCTCAGAGAACAGTAGTCTCTGAGGAGACTGGAAGGCCCTCTAGTCCAGCCCCTGGTGCAGGACACCCCCCTAACCACCCCCGCCCCCCAACCCCCCACCCCTGCTCCGCGACAGCACCTGGCCCTAGAGTCCAGTATCTGTGGGAGGGAGACTTAGAGGGCTCAGTGGAGGTCAGGACAGCTTTCTGCTTGCTCACATTCAATGAAAAAAGATTACAAAACCTTCTTTCATTATAAATGTAATATTCATGGGAGCTGAAAACAATCAGAAGGTAAAAATAATAACAACAATACCTTAATTGTGTAATGAAGTTATTTGGTGGTGAAAGCACTTCAAAAATACAGCAGGTGCGAGATTGTAAAACATGACAGTGGCCTCCGAGGGATAATAATCTTTTTTAATTTAACATGTTATTTTTATTTCAGGAAATCTTGCTATACTTTGCTTCATTCCACAAGGCTTTTAAGGTAGCAGAAAAGTTTGTGATCTGAATCTAATTTTTGTGATCTAGAATCAGGATTTGGAGCTCACAAATCATTCCTAAGTGAACGATACTAGTAATATTTCTCTAAGAGTAGCTATGTCATTTTCATGATATGGTTCTTCTGGTACATTTATTTCTGGTTTTTCTGTCAGGTATAATTTGTCTTTCTTTCTAGTACTTGAGAGGGTAACTTAGGAGGACATGGCGTGTCCAGCCCGTGAGAAAGGCAGGCAGGGCTGTGTCCTGAAGCAGGTGGGAGAGAATGCCGGTGCTTTTTTGCCATGTTGTGGACACGTTGTTTCCTTTTTTAGGAAGATGAAACCAAGCCAGAAGACTGTATACCAGATGTACCAGGCAACGAACATGCCAGGGAATTTCTGGCTCACGCACCAACGAAAGGACTCTGGATGCCACTGGGGAAAGAAGTCAAAGTTATGCAGTGTGAGCACGGGAGAGTTGCAAGTAACACTCCTCCATACACGCAAGTTATATACCGCGATTTACAAAGCGCGTTTACTTCCTTTTTTTTTTTTAATTTGTTCTCACCGCAGCCCTGTTAAGTCAAGGCACAATCTCTCTTTCATAGTTAAGGAAGCTCACCTGCATATGTTAGTGAGTGGTCCGAGGTAAGAGGTAGAGAGGAGCTTTGACTCCAGGGCTTCTGACTCCAAAGGCTGGGGTCATCCACAGGGACCATAGCTACCTTTGGAGTTCACTCTTTGGTAATATTCCAGTAACAAAAAGGATATTCTGTTGTAGAAATGCCATGAGGGACAAGAAATGTGTTGGAGGGCAGGTCCCTTTGGGTCTTGCATCATTCGCCCCCCATCAGTGGTGTTAAGGTTTCATCCATGTAACCTGGGAGGAGCTGTGGGTCTAGAGCAGGGTGCTGTGCATGCACACCCCCACCCCACCCCAGCCGCAACACCTTCATCCAGCTTAAGTGGTATTTAGTATTTGAAGAAAGGGTACTGCTGCCTTTTAAAGACATTTGTACAAAGATTCTTCATGCATGTAATTAAAATAGCAGTTCCTAGTCCCTTTCCCCCATTAGCCTCACCCTAAAGGTAACCATGTAAACCTCTCTTAAGAAGATTATTTGGGGGCACCTGGCTGGCTCAGTCGGAGGAGCATGCAACTCTTGATCTGGGGATCATGAGTTGGAGCCCCACATGGGATGTAGAGATTACTTAAATAAAATTTAAAAAAAATTTTTTTTGAAGTTTATCTCCATGTATCTAAATAACAGGGTTATATTCCTGCCTCTTGATTTTTTAGGTTTCTTCATTGTCTGTTGACTTCTTACTCTAGAAGAGTTTCAGCTCTTTTTTTTGTGCCTCAACCACACCTCATACATACTCTATCTCCCATTTTCTCAATACGTTATATCATAATTTAAATAAATCTTTTTTGTATATTTATATTATTTTCAGAATTGAATCATATAATAAACCAATTGCATTTCCTTTCATACATCCTGCATAATATTTTGTTTGCCCTGCAATTAATAGTTGTCTTTTTGTTGTTCTTGTTTTTGCTTTTTTCTGTGTACTGATTTCTAATTCACCTCCTTCAGATGCTTGAGGTATTCTATTAGTTTTTTTCCTCCTAAAGAGAGTTGTTCCCCCTGCTATCACCCAGGGACCTTCCGTCAGCATTCACTCTTTGGTTTCCCTTAACATCCTTCTTGTGTTTGATCTCCTATTTGCCGTATCTTGCATCTTTTTTGTTACATTCTTTTGCTGTGGTAGAGCACATTCTCTAGTAGCTGAGAAGTGGGTTTATGGGAGATAAATTTTTAAGACTGTATTCTTCTGGAAACATCTCTATATTTTTGGTTTGCTATTTAGTTAGAATTTTGTTAAAAACAAACTTCCTTCAGAATTTTGAAGGCACTGCTTCGTTGCCTTCTCATTTGTAGAACTGCTGTTGACAAGTCCAAAGCAATTAAGATTGTGGATGATTTGATGTAACCTGCTTTGTTGTTGCTGTCTGTTGTTTTTTATTCTTCTTTCCTAGAAGCTTATGAGATCATCTTATTCCCAGTGTTCTGAAATTTCACAAATTATTTCATTGATTATTTCCTCCCCTCTGTGTTTGCAATTCTGTTATTCAGATGAAGGACTTCTTAGATTGATTTTCTAATTTCTGATCTTTTCTCTCCTGTTCATGTTTTTTGCTTTCTAGAATATTCCATCAACATAGCTTCCAATCCTTCGATTTTTTATTTCAATTCCAAAAGCTTTTTTCTTTCATGATTTTTTAATTCTTTAATTGTTGCAAAATGTTCTCTAAGGATGCTAATTTTTTCTTCTCCCTAAAGTTTTTATTTCTTCCAAATTGTTTTCTATTTATTTTTTCACCTTTTTCATTTATGAAGAGGCTTTCAGGTGACTTAAAGAACAGAAATATATTATCTCACAGTTCTGGATGCTATCAGTCTGAAATCAGGGTGTGAGCAGGGTTGGCTTCTTCTGAGGACTGTGAGGGAAGAATCTGTCCCAAGCCTCTCCAAAGATCCTATCTCGCAATGAGGTCACATTCTGAGGCACAAGGGGTTAGGACATTCAACATAATGACGGGACAGCATAGAGGGGGCAACACTGTTCAAGCCATAACACACTATTTTTAAAAAATCACACTTTGATTTTTGCACAGGATTGCTTAGTAACTACTTGGCTTATTTCGAAAACCCAAGATTAAAGGATGCTTGAGGAAGCGATTGATTTCTGTTTTCTGGTGTCTTACATGGTTCATCCACTAATTGCATTTGCTTTGGAAATTGAAATCTAATGAAGAATATCTTTAGTATGATCTACTGATACTTTATCTTGATTAAGTAAAACTACATCATCTTACAGAAATATATCCCTTTTCTTTGTTTTTAGGTTGGCGTTGTAAACGGTATGGTCACCGAACAGGCGACAAAGAATGCCCTTTCTTTATCAAAGGCAACCAAAAGTTAGAACAGTTCAGAGTAGTAAGTAAAACCCAGAGTTTCAATTTACATTTGCCAGAGGTGGTGAATGTCAGTGACTCAGGCACTGACCAGTGAAATGGAGGTTAACATGAAATACATTCCCAGGGCCTTTTGGCCAAAGTATCTGGTATTAACTCTGTTAAACTGAATTTGTGTGACAGATTAGCTCATTAGTAAAAAATTAACTTTTATTAAAGTGTTATTTGCTTATGCCTTGGGAACACTGATTTCTTTTTCTGAAAGACATTGTTATATATTCAGTCACTTTTTACTTATATTTTAAAAAATTTTGTTTCGGGTGCCTGGGTGGCTCAGTTGGTTGAGCAACTGCCTTTGGCTCTGGTCATGGTCCTGGAGTCCCGGGATCGAGTCCCACATCAGGCTCCCTGCTCAGTGGAGAGTCTGCTTCTCCCTCTGACCCTCTTCCCTCTCGTGCTCGCTGTCTCTCATTCTCTCTCTCTCAAATAAATAAATAAAATCTTTAAAAAATAAATAAATAAATAAATAAATTTTGTTTCATAACTAAAATCAGCATTCTAGTTCCCAGTCTTTATGTAAAGATTAAATATCTATTATAAACTAGATATGTATGTATAGATGATATATCCTCTTTGCATGACAGTAAGATAGATGTCATTTCCCCACTTTATTTTCACAGTCACCTCCCAGGGTTGTTAACTCACCATTCAGTCACTGTTTCAGTCAGCTTAACTATGCTGTTATCAGAGAGATTGGCACTATCACCTTATATCAAACCAGGGTCCACAAACATTTGCCAGGACTTTAAGACATTTTAAAAATTGTACTTTCATTCAAAAAATTTGGAGAAAATAGGGGCACCTGGGTGGCTAAGTCGTTAAGCATCTGCCTTCAGCTCAGGTCATGATCCCAGGGTCCTGTGATCGAGACCCGCATCAGGCTCCCTGCTCAGTGGGGAGCCTGCTTCCCCCTTTCCCACTCCCCCTGCTTGTGTTCCCTCTCTAGCTGTCTCTCTCTCTGTCAAAATAAATAAATAAAATCTTAAAAAAAAATGTGGAGAAAATATTCTGTATAAATCAATGCTACCTGGAATGGCAATTTTACAGTATCTAATTTACAGATAAATTGGTGATAACTCTCAAAAAAAATGAACAGATTCATGTATTTTTAATTCAGAAACCTAAATTCTAAGAACAGATCCCAAGCCTATAACAAAAATCAATACATACAAATTTTTATGAATATATAAGGAATTATTCAGAATTACATCTGTGACTGAAAATTAGACTAAAGAAAATAGGAAACAACTTCAATGGCCAGCATACCAGCATAAGGACTGTGACACAGAAGTCATAGCTTTTAAGAATTATGTTTGGGAAAATGTTCATGAAAACATAAGTGGAAAAAAAACAGAATTATATATATAACGATTATAATATTTTGTAAATTATGAATAATGAGTGGAAGAACCACATTAAGATGTTAGCAGTAGATATCTCTGGCGGGTAAGACTATAAATATTTTTAACTTTTTTATCTTTAATATATAAAATTTTTACTAAACATTTTTAAAGATAATTCACATACCATAAAATCCAGTCTATGTGTCGTCATATTCTTAGTAAGTACTTTTAAATTATACAAATATTTCAAGAATACATTTATTTTAACAAAATTGACATGTTACAGTAAGGTTTTTCACAATTGATTTTTTAAGTCCAATACTGCCTCTCTCCAGAGCAAATATGCATTATGTAGCTTGATGAGGACACTTCCATGCTTCTTTCTGGGCACATACATATGTTTTTGTGCAACTATACGTGAGTCATTCTTACATATCATTTTCCAACTTGTTTTGTTTAATATCTCTTGATCATCTGTCCACACAGAGCAAAGAGAATTACCTCAATATTTCTTACCTTGAGTAATATTTAATAATGATTCTGCCATGTTTGATATCCTTAAAAAGGCTATTCAAATTGTATAATAGGAAAATCTTTTTTTTGTAGCTTCCGTGAATTTGAAGTGATGGTGACCCTTAGCGAGGATTAGAACATGTTAAATATAAAATTACACCAAACAGGAAAAAAAAAAAACTGGTTTCAGTGAAATATGGATTTAATTTTTATTTAACTGATAGTCCATGGTGCCTAACTCAACCTTAACCTTTCTCATTCTCAAGGCACATGAAGATCCCATGTATGACATCATACGAGAGAATAAAAGACATGAAAAGGATGTAAGGTGAGATGGTCCTGGTGATAACAATACCCTTTTAAAGTCTGAAATTATATAAAGTTAGAAACACTCATTCCGGTATTAGATGAGTGGTCTGGTAACTATGGTACTTCAATTGTGAGCTATTTGGAAGGCAGGACTCATCACAGGAAAGGACAGTGGGTGGGGAACGGGAGGCCAGCCTCATTCCACTTGGGTTAGCAGTGGGCTTGGTCCTGCCTGCTCACACCCTGATGGATGATTACTTAGTTTATCTTTAAGGATCTGAGCTATTATTAAAAGTTATCCTTAGACATGAATAAAGATAAGATGAAGAAAGTAGAGGGTTTGTTTTTCTCAAACTGGTTCCATGGGGTTCTAATTGTTAAGGAGGTAGATTACCTAGTATGAACTTGAGTGGTTGTGGGTCGTTGGGGAGGTGATGGAGAAGTGGCATCTATTCGAAGTTATGTAGTAAGGACTGGAGAAACATGCAGAAATACTTTGGACAGTGAAAAGAATACAGAATGGCTTGTACACTGGGTACAGTCCTGTCAAAGAGACATGGATGTGGACAAGAATAGGGAAAACATGCAGAAATAAAAATAAGTACTATCTTAAGTAAGGTGGTTATTCATGATGTTTTTTACCCTCACTGCTGCTCTTATGTCATTTTTATCTACCTTTTTTTTTTGAGTTAAATATGGTTCTTTGGTTAATCTTCTATGTTTAGGATACAGCAGTTGAAACAGTTACTGGAGGATTCTACATCTGATGAGGATGGAAGTAGCTCCAGTTCCTCGGAATGTAAAGAGAAACACAAGAAAAAGAAAAAGAAAGAAAAGCATAAGAAAAGGAAGAAAGAAAAGAAGAAGAAGAAGAAACGAAAGCATAAGTCTTCCAAGTCGAATGAGAGTTCAGACTCGGACTGACAACAACTTGACTTGTTCAACATTCTCTTCTCCCTAATCAGACACTGTGGCCAAAGACCAGAGGATGTGGAATCGGGGAGGACTAGGAGAGAGCCGCCTAGAGAGCAGGGTATTTGGTGTCACGTGTGTGAATTCTCACCTGCCTTCCAGCAAAGATGTGACCCAGGAGGGTGAGTTGTACTTTCCCAGGCACTAGCTCTGGACAGCGGCTGATTTCAGGCAGGAAAGCTTCGTTCAGTGTTGTCCTCCCGCTGATCCCTGCAGTTTGTGATTCCTTCGAGCTGCCTCTGCCAGGGTGGCCCGACCGAGGGAATGAGTCTCTGAGGAAGCTCCAGGTGCTGCTGCAGCCTTCCCCTCCCCAGGGCGCTACTTAGTTCCCAGAGACTTCAGATTTGACTTTTCTCTGTTGTCGAGGATAATAAAAGCTCATTATTTATTTTTTTAATGTATTTCTTTTTTATTTCTGAATAATACATGCATGTGCTCCAAATTTAAAAGGTATACAGGGTTGAATCATGAAAATTCTTCTTCCTTCTTCCTTTCTCCCCTAGCTGCCTATATCCCTTTGCCGGTGGCTACCGGTTTTACCAGGTTCTTGTTTGGTCTTCCAGAAATATTTTATATATCACAATAAATATAGGGTTTTTTTTTGTTTTGTTTTTTTGGGGTTTTTTTTCCCCACAAATGCCATAAACACTCATATGAACATTGGGGTTTTTTTTTAACAGCATAAAGCAGATTATTTTAATATCAAGTACATTTAGCATTGTTGCAGCAAAAGGTGTGTGTTTATAATCACCGGAGATGGTTTAATATAAAAGCAATGAAAAATCTTGTGTGGCAACACTGTATTTCACTTGCTTGGATCTTACTGCCTGAGTCCCAAGATTTTTCCGAGTCATTGACTCAGAAAATTTTTAAAAATATAGGGGAGGGGCGCCTGGGTGGCTCAGTTGTTAAACGTCTGCCTTCAGCTCAGGTCATGATCCCAGGGTTCTGGGATCGAGCCCCACATCGGGCTCCCTGCTTCGGCAGAAGCCTGCTTCTCCCTCTCCCACTCCCCCTGCTTGTGTTCCCTCTCTCACTGTGTCTCTTTCTGTCAAATAGATAAAATCTTTAAAAAAAGAATATAGGGGAATTATTATATGGGGTCAGCTACCTACGTCCCAAAATACATCCCTCACTTCCTTCATCTTCCTGTTGGTTAAACACAGCCCACCTGTGCTCCTCTGTCTTTGTGCCACAGCCCATCAGTGTGGTGCCTGCAGCTAAGCGAGAGTAAGTCTTGATCTTGACTGAACTATATAGAGATAGATCATCCTCACAGGTGTCCCTCCCTCTTCAGCAGGGGCATTCCTGTTTTCAGGGCCCCAGTAACTCTTCTCCCATTTCTGTCCTCTTTCCCTGGGGGTTGAATTCCACCCCCCTTAAAGAACAGCCAATCCAGTCCCAGAATGGACCCATCTCCTACTCATCAATAAATGCTCCCAGTCTTGGCCTTGGAATAGTAGTACCTGAGTAACACATTGGTACAGAATGGAATCAGCAGGCCAAGGTTTGTGTTTTCTGAAAATTCTAAGGGCAGTTAATTCAGGTGTCCTTTACATTTATCCTAGGCATCCTAGGTCAGCCTGCAAAACATGGGCCATTTGACCTCTCCTATAGGTCTCAGTGTTTCCTACTCGTCTCATAACTCTTCTAGAAATTTCTTACTGTCCTTCTGGAATCTTATTCATGATAAAAGTATTCTTAAACAATATGAAAGTCTGCATCAGTGATTCTCAAATCTTTGGGGCATCAATATCAACTACAGTGCTTGTTAAAACAGAGATTCCTGTACTCCCAGACTTCCAGAGTTTCTAATTCAGTAGGTTTGTGGTGAACCTGGGAATTTTCCTAACAAGTCCCCAAATGATGCTAACATTGTTGTCTGAGAACCACACTTGGAGAACCACTGCTCTGTATCTTTAGCCTCTTAATGGAGCCTTCTTCCACTTCCTGCTTTAACTAGAAATCTGGCCATCTCCTCCAACGCTTGCAAGGTAACTACTGTCCCTACTCCCTCACTCTGGTTTTCTCTATCTTTTGTTTCTGGCTTGATCCGAGAGTCCCATTACTTAAGACTGTCATCTCCCTTGACCTGTGGTCCTTTTGCCCTGGTTTCTCAGAAAAACCTCAAACCTCTTCTGCATCTATAACGAGACACTAGAGAAAAATCACAGGGCGCCTGTGTAGCTCAGTCAGTTGAGCAACGGACTCTTGGTTTCTGCTCAGGTCATGGTCTCAGGGTCACGAGATCAAGCCCCGCGTTGGGCTCCATGCTCAGACGTGGAATCTGCTTGGGATTCTCTCTCCCTCTTCGTCTCCCTCTGCCCCCGTTTGTACGTGCTCTCTCTAAAAAAAAAAATAAAGGGGCGCCTGGGTGGCTCAGTTGGTTAAGCGACTGCCTTTGGCTCAGGTCATGATCCTGGAGTCCCAGGATCGAGTCCCGCATCAGGCTCCCTGCTCAGCAGGGAGTCTGCTTCTCCCTCTGCCCCTCCCCCATCTCATGTGCTCTCTCTCATTCTCTCTCTCAAATAAAATCTGTATCCCTTTTAAAAAAATAAAAAATAAAATAAAATAAAATCTTTAAAAGAAAAATCACACAGCCATATAGATTGCCATCCCCACAAATTCATCATCTCCAAACTCTACTGAGCCCATTAAGCTGAATAGCAAACCAAAAGTTTGTTAGTCATCTACTCAAACCTTCATTCTCATACATCTCCTCTCAAGTGGAGCATTTTCCACTCCTATTCAGGAAGTCATTACAAGACCTCAGACCTCCCTTCACCAAGGCATCCTACCAATCAATCATCATAGTTGTCGTAGACAGAATTCTAAAATGGCCCCAAGATTTCCTGCTAATCTCGAGGACTGTTAATATGATGAATTTTACTTTCGTGATTAGATTATTTTATAAGCACAAGAAAAGGGAAATTATCTGGATGTTCCTAATGAAATAGAGGAACTCAGATTCTAGGCCTGTGAAACATTCCTTGTGCCATTGCTGACTTAAAGATGACAGGGCTACAAGGGGATACAAGGTAAGGAATGCAGCAGACTTAATTACTACAGGAAGCCCTAATTAAGAGGCCCCTGACCCACACCAGCAACGAAACAGGGAACTCTGTCCTACAGCCAAAGGGAACTTAATTTTGCAAACCTCGACGACCTTGGATGCAGAATCTTTACCCAGAATCTCCAGATAGGAGCCCAACCCTGCTGACATCTTGATTTGGGTCTTGTGGGACACTAAGGAGAAAACCCAGTTGAGCCTGCCCAGATTTATGATCTATAGAACTGTAAGATAATAAATGTTTTAAGCCATTAAGTTTGTGGTAATTTGTTATGCAGAAACAGAAAACTAACACAATGGTTTAATCAGGTTTCTCTTCCTGTCAGGCCAATCTCCACCTGTGCCCTGGACCCCAACTCTCAGCCAGCAGTGGAGGGCAGGGATTAAGAGCACTGGCTCTGGAGGATCCACACTGCCTGGTTTTGAAATCCAGCTGCACCATTCGTGAGCTATCAGACTGTGCAAGTTGCCTGACCTCTCTGTGCTGCCATTTCCTTGACAGATAATATTTACCTCCTAGAATCATCGAGAATTAAGTGACTTGATAGTTGTAAAACATCTAGAACACAGTTTGGAACATTTCAATTGCTAAATGAATGTTAGTTGCTCCTGCATACTTATGCTATCATCATTATCTGTTCCTGCTTCCTCAGGGATCTTCCTCCTTTCCTTATCCCACTGCACTCTCTGTTGCCACTGGCATTTAAAAACTGTTTTGAAATTATAACAGTAGGGACACCTGGCTGGCTGAGTCAGTAGAACATGCGACTCTTGATCCCAGGGTTGTGAGTTCAAGCCCCATGCTGGGCGTGGAGACTTCTTAAAAAAAATTTTTGTTTCAGTAAAATTTTAAAAGTAATACATGATCATAAAAAGTTCCCAATTCAGAACCATTACAGAGTAAAAAGTGAAAGGAAAATCTACTTTAAATGGTTTTAAAGAGCCTTCAAGATCTTTTAAAAAATACATTACCAGTTTTTTAGTTTGACATAACTGAAAAACACTATGAATACTATTCCATGACTTCATCTCACTTACTCTATCTTGGCAGTCTCACTGCTTACTAACAAACTTTAAATGGCCACAAAATCCTTGGTGGGAATGTGCTACTTACCCATTTAACCATTCTTCTTTGTGCAATTCAGTTGTTTCTTATTTATCCTTCTGTGGAATGGTGATTTATGAGAAATATGTATTTGGTTGTTGTGAAAGGGAGAATGTTCTCTGCCCTTCAAGGTCCTTCTAGCTGGACTAAGAATCAAACTGACATGAAACAGAATAACAAGAGAAAATCAAAGTTTCCTACATATGAAATTCCAAAGACAGTGAAGCCATAAGACGCTTATATGAGCTAAGGACAGGCGTAGGGGACTGAGCAAGACATTACCAGGGAGAGGAGAGATGCTTGGAAAACAAAGGCTGCCCTATCACACAAATAAGTATCTTAGATAAAGAGGAATCTGTTAATAGTGCTCTTCCTGGTACAGGCAGGAAGTTGAGGGGGAGATAAAGAGCTTTTCCTGAATCGGCTGGGTTTTGATTGCTTTTAACTCAATTCATGTCAAAGTGACCCATTTGAAGCAGCCTGCCCTTGGTCCCGTACATGGTCATTCAGATGACCAAAATATATTTCTCGTATACGTTTGGTCTTTATCCACAGTTTCTGGATCACATCTCCCCAAAACACTTGGAATTTCATGACTGAGGAGAGCAATGGGAGAATTTTTTCTTTTTTTTTTTTTTTAGTATTTGGTCTCCTGTTCCCGGTTCCTGAAATCACTTCAGAGCCATAAAGGCAAAATGGGTGTTTTGTTACTCATAACAAGCCCCTTTCCACCACAACTGGGTTTATGTTAATGAGGTGAATTTTGGAAAACACCTAAGGATATATAGCATCAGGAACTTTCAGTCCCACACCCCTGATTTCAGGGGAGGGTAAAAGGGCCAGAGAGTGAATGAATCACCAATAGGCAATCATGCCCATGTAATATGGAGCCTCTAGTATATTTGAGAGCTTCCAGAAGGGTGAACACACGGAAGTCCTGGAAGAGTGGCGAACCAGGACAGGGCATAGAAGCTCCTCACCCTCCCCACATACAAGCATCTGTTATGCCTGGCTGTTCTTGAGTTACATCCTTTTATAATAAGCCAATAATCTAGTAAGTAAAATGTTTGTGTGTGTTCTCTGAGCTGCTCTAAGCAAATTAATCGAACCCAAAGCAGGGGGCATTGGAACATTCAATCTAGTCTATCAGAATCATAAGTGATAACCTGGGCTTTTGAGTGGCATTTGAAGAGGGGTGGGGCAATCCTGTAGGAATGAGCCCCTTACCTGTGGAATTTGATACTCTCTCCAGGTATTTAGTATCAGAATTAAGTTAAATTATAGGACACCCTGCTGGCATCCTGAGAATTCCCACACACACATTGGAATTGGTTCCAAAATCTTTCATCTTCCCACAAACACTGTAATGAAAACCTATGAGTATATATCTTAGTGTACATATGTGCGTATTTCAAAAGAATAGCTCTTTAATAGTGGAATTACATATTTTAATTTTCACATACTACCAGATTGCCCTCCAAGAAAGTCTGTATCAATTTTCACAACCTCTTACCTTGTTTAAAGGGGTCCATTTCCCTGCCCAAGAGCAACTAATAACTTCAAGGTTCTTTCATCTCTTTAAAACAAAAAAAATCCTCCCTTGATCCCATATCTGTCTAGCTCTTTCCTCTCCTTTATAGCAGGAATTTTGTTTTGTTTTGGGTTTTTTTCTTTTAAGATTTTTTTTTTTTTTTAAGATTTATTTTGGTGCGGGGAATGAGTCGGGGGCAGGGGGCAGAGGGAGAGAATCTTCAAGCAGACTCCCTGCCAAGCATGGAGCCTGACTTGGGCCTCAATCCCACGAGTCACAAGATCATGACCTGAGCAGAAACCAAGCATCAGACACTCAACCCACTAAGCCACCCAGGAGCCCCTTAAAGATTTTAAAGTAATCTCTACACCCAACATGGGGCTCAAACTTACAACCCCAAGATCAAGCACTGCATGTTCTACCCACTAAGCCAGCCAGACACCCCTACAGCAGGGTTTTTGAACCTTGGCCCTATTTATTTCAGGGGCTAAATCTTAGTTGTGGGGGTCTCTTCTGTGCATTGTAGGATATTCAGCATCATCCCTAGCCTCTACCCACTAGATGCCACTAGCACCACCATTCCTCACTTGTGACAACCAAAAATATCTACATACAAAGGAATAAAACTGGAACCTTATCTTATACCACACACAAAAATCAACTCAAAATGGAGTAAATATTTAAATGTTAAGACCTGAGGGGCACCTGGCTGACTCAGCTGGTAGAGCATGTGACCCTTGATCTCAGGGTCATGAGTTCAAGCCCCATGTCAGTCGTAGAGTTTACTTAAAAAAAAAATAGTAAAAATAAAAAATAGATAGATAATGTTAAGACCTGAAGCTATAAAACTCCTATAAGAAAACATAGGAAAAAGCTTCTTGACATTAGTCTTGACACTGAGGTCTTGGATATGACACCAACATATTAAACTAAGAAAGCTTTTGCACAGCAAAGGAACAATCAAAATGAAAAGGCAACCTATGGAAGGGGAGAAAATATTTACAAGCCATATCTCTAATAAAGGGTTATTATACAAAATATATAAAGAACTCCTACGACTCAATAGCAAGAAAACAAGCTGATTTTAAAAATAGACAAAGGAATTGAACAGACATTTCTCCAAAGAATAACTATCAAGTACATTAAAAAAAAAAAAAACTGATGAGGGAAATGAAATGCAAATCAAAAGCACAATAAGATATCATCTCATACTTGTTAGGATAGCTCTTATGAAAAAGAAGATAAATGTTGGTGAGGATGTGATGAAAAGAGAACCCTTGTACACTGTTGGTGGCAATGTACGTGAAGTTGCTACCAAAAACAGTATGGCAGTTCCTCAAAAACTTAAAAATAGAATTACTTTTTTTTACTAACCCCAAGTCTAAGTATATATCCAAAGGTATTAGAATCAGGATCTTAAAGAGGTACTGCACTCCCATGTTTATTGCAGCATGATTCACAATAGCCAAGACATGCAGACAATGAAAATGTCCATCAACAGATAAATGGGTAAACACAATGTAGTATTATTTAGCCATAAAAGAGAGGGAAATCCTACAGTTTGTGACAACATGGATGAAAGAGGAGGACTTTATGCTCACTGAAATAAGCCAGACACAGAAGACAAATACTACATTACACATGAATCTAAAATAGTCAAACCCACAGAAACAAGAGGGTAGAATGGTGGTTCCCAGGGGCTAGGGTGGGGGGGAAACAAGAAGGTATCAAAGAGTAAAACGTTTTACTTATATAAGATAAATAAATCCTAGAAATTGACTTTATAGCATAGTGCCAACAATTAATAATATCATATACTTACTATTTTATGAAGGAAGATCTTATGTCCTCTATATATAATTTTATATAGAGAGACTTTTACATATAGAGTTTTATATATATATATATATATATATATATATATATATGGAGAGAGAGAGAGGGAGGGAGGGAAAGAGAGAGCATGCATGCATGCATGCAGGAACAAATGTTTAAAGGTTTCTGGCATAGATTGTGGGGAATATTTTCACAGGTATATACTTATTTCCAGACTCATCAAGTTGTATACCAATGTGCAGCAATCATACCTCAATAAAACGGCTTAATAATAAGATAAATAAAATGTATGGAAACAGCCTCAGTTGGGAGTCACTGCTTGAACAGTTTCTTGAAAGAATTACCTATACAGTTGACCCTTGACAGCATGGGTTTGAATTCTGTGGGTTCACTTATACGCAGATTTTTTTCAACAAATACAATAAATGTATTTTCTCTTATGATTTTAACACTTTTTCTTTAACTTACTTTATTGTAAGAATACAGTATATAATACATACAACATATGGAATACATATTAACCAATTATGTTACCTGTTAAGGCTTCCAGTCAACAGTAGGCTATTAGAAATTTGGGGGTGGGGGAGTAAAGTTATACTTTTTGCACAGGGTGGCTTTCCTCTATGCCCACACAGAGCACTTTGTTCTTTCTTGCTCTTTTATAAGAACAGTTCTTTTGAATCAGGCACCCAGTCTTATGGTCTCATTTAACTTTAATTACTCCCTTCAAGTCCTATTCTCCAAATGTAGTCACACCGGGTGTTAGGACTTCAACATATGAAGCTTGGGACATAATTCAGTCCATAACATCTCTGGAAGTGCTCTTGCTAGGACCACCAGTATTGCCATTGTTATCAAATCTAACAAATCCTTTCTAGTTGTTTCTTTTTTTAGCATTTGACACTGTTGACCACTTTTTCATGAAAGATCCTTAGCTACTGGATTTCATGATACCTTTTCAGATGCTCTAACCGAACTATCTCACTGGCTGCTCCTGCTTACCTTCCGGTGTAACTCTTGGCTTCAGTCCTTTAAATAGGAATGTTTCTCACAGTTCTGGCTTAGACCTTCTCTTCACTCTTCTGTTCTCAGTGACTCTTATGGCTTAAAGTATCAATACTCTGCTGATGACAGCCCTGAACACTCTCCTGAGCCCTGGACTTACTCACTTCGATGTCCTGTAGGCATTCCACCATTCTATCGGCTCTCAAGCAAGATACCTTCAGCATTTTTTTACTCTAAAGATGGTGCCAACAGTCACCTCAATTCTGAGTCAGAAGCCT